AACCCTCCTCCACTGCTGGTGGGAATGTAAACTTGTACAACCACTCTGGAAATCAATCTGGTACTTTCTCAGAAAACTAGGAATAGCGCTTCCTCAAGACCCAGCCATACCACCCCTAGGCATATATCCAAAAGAGGCTCAAGTACACAATAAGGACAGTTGCTCAACCATGTTTGTAGCAGCTTTATTTGTAATAGCCAGAAGCTGGAAATGACCCAGATGCCCCCCAACTGAAGAATGGATACAGAAATTGTGGTATATCTACACAATGGAATATTACTCAGCAATGAAAAACAAGGAAATCATGAAATTTGCAGGTAAATGGTGGGACCTGGAAAGGATCATTCTGAGTGAGCTGTCACAGAAGCAGAAAGACACACTCAGGACATACTCACTCATTTAGACATATAATATTGGCTAAACCTACTAAAATCTGTACACCTAAAGAAACCAATCAAGAGGGAGGATTCTGACTAAAATGCTCAATCCCCATCCTGAAAGGTAAAAAGGATGGACATCAGAAGAAGAAAACAGGAAACAAGTTAGGAATCTGCCACAGCGGGCCTCTGAAAGGCTCTGTCCTGCAGACTATCAAAGCAGATGCTGAGACTTATGGCCAACTGTTGGGCAGAGTACATGGAATCTTATGAAAGAAGGGGGAAATAGTAAGATCTGGAGAGGACAGGAGCTCCACAAGTAGAGCAATAAAACCAAAAAAATGGAACATAGGGGTCTTTTCAGAGACTCATAGTCCAACCAAGTACCTTGTATGGAGATAACCTAGAACCCCTGCACAGATGTAGCCCATGGCAGTTCAGTATCCAAGTTGGTCCCATAGTAATGGGAACAGGGACTGCTCTGACATAAACTGATTGGCCTGCTCTTTGATCACCTCCCCCTGAGGGGAGAGCAGCCTTACCAGGCCACAGAAGATAACAATGCAGCCACTCCTGATGAGATCTGCTAGACTAGGATAAGAAGGAAGAAGAGGAGAACCTCCCCTATCAGCAGACTTGAGGAAGGACATGCTTGAAGAAGGGGAAGGGAAGGTGGAATTAGGAGGGGAGGAGGGAGGGATTTATGGAGAAATTAAAAATGAATAAACTGTAATTAATAAAAATTAAAATTAAAAAAAAAAACACAGAAACAGACACGCAGAGTTTAGCATCCTCCCAGGCCAGCATCACGGTGAGAAACACCGGCAGCAGCGGGCTGCCTTGCTGGGTTAACTGTGCCTAGGTTCAGCTTACAGAAGGCTGACTACTTGGCTCCCAGACCATCGCCAGAGGTCCCACAACCCCCCGAAGAGCTGTGAGTTTCAAAATCACCTCAAGACTCTATCTTACTGGCCTCATTTACAAAAAGAAAAGAGTGTTCCTTTAAATACGCCAAGAGTCACCTGTCAGCCCCTCAGTCTGCCCTGTGCCAGAGGCTGCCCGTTAGGCGCATAGCATCAGTTCTCTCTCCACTCAGTGGGGAAGGAAAATGGAACTTTTGGCCAGCTGAGGCTGACAGGAGGCAGATCATTCACTCAGCCTGCAGCAACCAGCCGAAGACAGGCTGTGTGGGCCCTGAGCCGTCCTCTACCCTATCCTGTCTTCAGTACTCCCATCCTCAGGTCTCTAGACACCTCTGCCCACCCCACCCCCAGCAGGGAGAGATGGCACACTCTGACAGTGGGGGCCCACTGGGCACGTGTTGACTCATCTGACAGGAAAGTCAATGGTAAGCAGGAAAGAGATAGGCATCGCTCTGATCACAGCCTCCTCAGTGCGCTGTCTGGGCCCGGGTTCAGTAACCATGAGGAAGTCACCTGACAGCACGCAGAAAGCACACGCAGATCTGTCTGAGGTATGAGGGGGGCTCCTGCCCACGGGGCCTTTGGCTGGACACTCTGGACCAGAGCCTCCTCTCCTCTCCTCACTTTGACTTGCTTCTCTATGGCTGACTTGCTGTACTGACCCCAGAGTGGGAGTAAGGTGACCTCCTCCTCAGTTCCATCCCTTGCCTCTTTCACAAGGAAAGGCTGTAAGAGTAGAGCGGAAGCCAATGTCATAGACAAGATTTGGGCATTTTCTTGGGCTTTTTCTGTCAGCAGATTATTCCTGTTCTTGTTATGAGAAATGATTGACAGCTGGCTCTCAATCTGCCATTGGCTCTTGGCATGCTATCCAAGCAGCATCAACAATCTGCAGAATGCTACTTGGATACAGGGAGAGAGCCCAGTAGGGATTCGAAGGGAAGTGTGCCCAGTCACTGAGTGGAATTCTGCCTGTGAGAAGCTTGAGGACACACATACTACACCACAGACTACAAGGCATTCAGACACTCTGACCCAGGAATTCATGCTCTGAGAATATACCCAAAAAATGACTGTGCTGGTGTAAATAAGAATGGCTCCCACAGACTCATATATCTGGATGCTTAGTTACTAGGGAGAGGCGCTGTTTGAAAAGATTAGAGGGATTGAGACATTCCTCCTTGGAGGAAGTGTGTCACTATGGGATGGGATTTGAGGTTTTAAAAGCTCAGGCCAGGACCAGGGCCTCTCTCTACCTCTGCCTGAAAATCAGGATGTAGCTCTTGACTTCTTCTCCAGCACCTGCTGCTGCCATGTTCCCTGCCTCCAATTAAATGCTTTCTCTTATGAGAGTTGCCATGGTCAGGGTATCTCTTCACAGCAACAGAACAGTGACCAAGACAACGATGTAAACATGAGAGAACTTTAAGCATAAAGATAGCCAACAAAGCCAGGCAAGGTGGCACATGCCTGTAATCCCAGCACTGTAGGAGGCAGAGGCAGGCAGGTCTCTGAGTTTGAGGCCAGCCGGCTCAACAAAGTGAATCCAGGACAGCCCAGGCCACACAGAGAAACCCTGTCTCAAAAACAAACAAACAACAAGAACAAAAAAAAAAAGGATAACAAAAAAGATATCCAACACAATGCTGTTTATAAAAGCAAAACATCTTCCAATTACTGATAACAGTTAACCTGGGTTTATGTTCTTACAAGAGAAGCCTATTGCTAATGAATGTGAGGTTTACAAAGTACATAAAAATATTATTTAAAAGGTAGGATTTAGAGGATTTTTTAGAAAATATTTTAAGGGGCTGGAGATAGGCTCCAAGGTTAAAAGCACTGGCTGCTCTTCTAGGTCCTGAGTGCAATTCCCAGCACCACATAGTGGCTCACAGCTATTGGTTCCCTCTTCTAACATGCAGGTAGATATGAAGGCAAAACAGTGTATACATAATTTTTAAAAATTATTTTAAATTAGAGGTATGTGCCTGTGTGTGGGTGTGTGTATGTGAATGCGGGCATCTGAAAAGGCCAGAAGAAGGCATTAGCTTCCCTGGGGCTAGAGTTACAGGTGGTGTAAGCCGCCCAATGAGGCGCTGAGAACCAACTCAGGTCCTATGCAAGAGCATTAAGTGCTCTTAACTGCTGAGCCCAGAATTTATATATATAAAATACACACACACAAATATGCAGAGGGTCTGTAGAGGTAGCTCAGTGGTAGAACACTTGCCTAGCATTTGGTCTAGGTTTGATCCCCAGCACTGAATAATACTGGGTGTGAGGGCAGATACTGTAACCCCACTGAGAGGTAGAGACAGGAAAATCAAAAAGTTGTGATCTCAGCTGCATCACAAGTTTGAAGCCAGCCTGGGATACATGAGACTATCCTAAAAAGAAAAAAGCAGAACAGAGCAGAACTCAAAGACGATCCCTCTAAACATGAAGTGTTGCTGAAGTGCTGCCGAATGCTTGGTGTGTATTTTGTGAAAATCTATGGAGCTGCATCCCGTAACTATTGCCCTGTGCCTGGCTTCAATTGTACAATGGCTGTGACCTTTTTCTTTTCTCTTTGTCAGTACTTAGCAAATTACCTATTATAAAGCACAGTTCTTATTGATCTTTTAAACACCATATGGAAACAATCTGATTTGTTTCTTCCCCCCCCCCCCCAAATCAACTGGAAGGACTGTGGAAGCTTGAATGAGATAACCCCCACCCCCATAGGCTCATGTGTTTAAATGCCTGCTCCCTAGTTAGTGGAACTATTTGGTAAGGATTAGGGGGTACAGCCTTGTTGTAGAAGGTATGTTACTCCTGTAGGGCTTTGAGGTTTCAAAAGAAACCTCGTTGAATGCTTTCTTTTACAAGATATTTTGGTCATGGTGTTTCATCACAGTAATAGAACAAAAAGTGAGACAAAGGATAAACAAGGAAAGTGAGCTTCCTTTCTAAAATATTCTTTCTGAAAAACACTAAGCTCAGTGCCTTTGAGGCCATCCAGTCGAAGGCGATCACACGCAGCGTGGGTGCATATGAGCGGGACGTAGAGGCCTCAGCATGGCCAACACAAGTGTCTAACTTGCAGCCTGCGGGCAGCGTGGTCTCCAGGAGAGCTACAAACACAGCCCAACACAAAACTGTAAACTAACTCAAAACAATGTGAGATCTTTTATTTGAGGACTGGGTCACACTCTGTAGCTCCGGCTGGCCTTAAGCTCACAGGGTTCCTCCTCCCTTAGCCTGGGATGCTAGCTCACCCATCAGCAATTTAAGAAATAGCAGAGATGAGAGCAGTGGCACATGCCTGTAATCCCAGCACTCAGGGAGGCAGAGGCAGGTGGATCTCTGTGAGTTTGAGGCCAGACTGATCTACAAAGTGAGTTCCAGGACAGCCAAGGCTACACAGAGAAACCCTGTCTTGAAGGGAGGTTAAAAAAAAAAAAAAAAAAAAAAAAAAAAAAAAAAACACTATTGGAATGAAATATTGTAACTAGTTCAGAATGATGTTGTTTGTTTGTCCTGTCCTGTGCCCTGGCCTCCAGCAGCACCTGACCCAGGACTCAACATGTGCTGTGGGTTCATCTGCTGAATTAACATGCATGATGAAACCAGTGAGCAAAGCTCCTTAGGTTCTGACAACCATAGGGGCAGAGAGATGAAAACCACAAGAGTGCAGCACCAAGCCCAGGCCCCATCTCACCTCAGGATGATGAAGACACAGAGGAGCAACCCAAACACCAGGCTTCCTCCGGCTACCAGGAACGTGGGCTGGGATATGGAGGAAGATTCTTGCACTGAAGCTGTGGGCAGCAGGGGAGTGATGGAGAAAAGGAAGGGAGGGGATTGAGGATGGCAGGAGAGAAAGAAGAGAGAAAAGAGGGTCAGTCGGTGGGTGCTAGAAGCAGAGGCAGCTCTGGAAGGCAGCAAAACTGCCATCTGGTTGCCAAAGCCAGCTCTGAAGAGCCACTGCAGGCACAGTGACTGCACCACTCATGGGCTCACATGGGCTGATTCCAGCGGGCAGCCAACCCAGGAGCCATTCTCTCCCGAAGTAGCTCTCCTGTATCCTTTACCCTAGCTCCAGGCAGAAGGCATGAGAGACAGAGGCTCTGAGGGCTCAATGCTGGTGGAGCCCCTAGGACTGGGTCAGGAGGCTCAGGGCTCTCAATAAGCATTTGGAAGCCATTTCTCCACTGGGGTGTCATCTCTCGCCTACACCCAACTTGGCACTCAAGCTCCAGACATGCCCTGTCCCTTCTCCTCAGGGCTTTCCATGGATCTCCCTTCCTGCCCAGAATGTCCTGTTCACCTTTGCTAAGCCCGTTTGCTGCCCAGTCCCTAGGAACCTTGATGAGTCCAGTGAGAGACCACACCCATGGCTGGGCCAGTGCAGCTATGCAAAGGAGTTTCCATGCACAGAGCCTTCATTTCAGTCTCCAGAAATAATGTTCCTAGTCTTCTCAGGCATACTGTTAGCTTTCTGATGTAGCCCACTCTTCTCCTGGGCCTCATTGTGTCTTAGTAAACAATGACAATTATGGAGTAACGGAAAGCGAGCTGGTGGTATAGCTCGCTGGTAGCAGGTTTGCCTAGCATGCTCAAGGCCCTTTCATCCTCTGCTAAGACTCCCAAGTGAGCTTTTCTCCTGGCCAGAGGAATACCACTTACCCGGGCTGTTTGTTGTTTCCATAGAATTTCTGTACCAATATTCGTCATCCTCATAGAAATAGTCTTCATCCGAAATCTAGGAGAGATGACCCTCACTGTCAGCCTGCCTGACATTCATTCCCACTTCTGAGTGTCTTCCGCAAGCCATCACCTCCTCTCTGTGTCCTGACCATCCCTGTGTCGGCCATCATCAACCATCTACCTGTCACTGGTGTTAGTCCTGTGCTCACTTTCCCTACCCCAGGTGAAGAGTTCTTGCCACCCATGGCTCATGCCGAAGGCACAGAGGACATGCTCAGGAAACATGGCAGCTGCCTGTGGTCTGTTGCTGGGCGCAGCGGCAGCAACTGGGAAAGCCCATCCTAGCATCTCAACTCCACTTCTTATTAGCTAGCCACCTGACAGGCAAATTTCTGAGTCCAGGTAGACTTATGCTGAACTTCTGCATCTCAGAGGTTTTTACCCATATAGTGGAACGGTGGCCAGCACTCAGCTAGTGTCAGTTTCCCCAAGACCTGCCTGGAGCTTCTCTAGCCTGAGAGGCAAAGACTCACTCGCCTCTGCCCATGAAGGCACCAGAAAGCCCCTCAAGGACAGCTCCTGAGGACATCCCTTCTACGACAGCCCTGTGAAGCCTGCATGTGAAGCCCATACCCCTGCTTCCTTCTTTGTGCTTTGGGGGCAGAGGAACAAAGATTCCAGCTTCTTGTTTCGGGAAGTAAGGACCACCGAGAGGACATAGACTTGGGTGGGAAATTGGATTAGTAAAGGAATTTGTTAAGCAGCTTCAGACGTAATCCTCTTTCAATACTTCATGATACCAGGATGCCACAAGGGAGAACGAAGATAAGTTGAATCAGGGCTCAGACTAAGCCGTTGGTGGTGTCCAAAGAGCTCAGGAGTAGCCACCAGAGCCAGGCAAAGGACGATTTACAGCTTCGAGGGACAGAGAACTGGCCCAGCCATACCTCTAGAAGACCCAGCTGGCACTGAAACCAGACTCTAGGGACCCTTCCTGCCCTGGCCCTTTCTGAAGGCAAGCTCACCTGAGTGGGGTTCCCGAGGATCCCTGCGGGAGTGCTCCTGGGTTCTGCCGGTAGAAGTAAGGGTTGAGTTAGTGACTCAAGGACCCTGGAGCCCAGTCAGATCAACACAGAACATCCCAGTGAGCTGGGTATGGAGGCACACCCGCAATCTTAACACTCAGGAAACTGAGATGGAAGGGGAGCCCCAAATCTGAGAGTAGTACAGGAGAGCCTGTCTCAGAAACAAACATTCAATATAATCTACAATGTTACTGTTTTTCAGAGTAAAATGCTGGGAATAAGGAACTCTGTAACACTAGAGGACTAGCTATGTCAATTATGATAGAGCCATATGAGACAGTAGCCTGGAAAAACATCTGTTGCATGTTACATGATGTAATGTGTATCAAAACATTACACGCACCCACAAATGTACCTGACTATTCTGTATCTACTAAAAATAAAACATCAGGGTTCACCCCTTTAAGCCCAGAACTTGGAAAATCAAAGCCAGCCTGGTCTACGTAGAGCAGCCCAGGCCAGCCAGGCCTACACAATAAGACAGTGTCTCAAATATAAAACTTTGAGGGGGCTAGAGAGATGGCTCAGTGGTTAAGAGCACTGGCTACTCTTCCAGAAGACCCGGGTTTGATTCCCAGCACCCACATGTTGGTTCAGAACCCTCTAACTCCAGTCCATCCGACCAGCCTCTGCAGGGACACAGTGCACAGGCACAGGCAGAACAGCCATAAAATTAGAATGAAAAAAAGAAGAGATAAATCTTTAAAAGTAAATAAAACTGAAAATATATACTTTAGAAAAACGTTGAAGACATAACATACTGTATGGGAAAACGATATATGTATTCTTTAACCCATAGTTCCTGAAACTCATGTTCATATTATCATATATTATAACAGACACACAGGAAGGGGGCCAGGGTACACATCGCAAGATACAAGCACTCTAACAGTAATTCTTTGAGCTCAATTCATAAAATATATAAAAGATCAGTAACTAGTGCCTAGGATGGACCAAGAACAGCCTGATAAAGAAGGATGGGGACAGCTGTGGCAGAAGCCACGTCCTCTTGGGGACTGCCTTCCACAGAAATCCCTGAATTAAGAGGAGGACCAGGATCAAGGCTGAGCTGGGCCTGTGGGACCGGCTCTGAACCTCACTGGGCACGCGATGGAATGACTCAGATTTTCTTGTCATGGCATCATTTTTCCACTAAGAAGTTAAAAATAACACCAAGTATAAAACATTCAGCCCCCCAGATCAGGAGCAGAATAACAGATCACTAAGGGATTGAGGACAGAGTGACCCTGTTTCTGCTTGGGAGAGAATTACAGTGGGTTACACCATCCTCAGAAGGAGAGACAAGCACGCAGCAACACTGGAAGTCTGGAAGAAAGAACCCACCCACCCTCTTCACTGTATAAAAAGGAAATAGGCCCAGAGAAGGGAAGCGATTTATCCAAGTTCACACATCAAATTAACTGAAAACTGAACTTCAAATTGTGGCAAGGACACGCCATCTCATACCTTTCTGCTCCTCCCAAGTTAGCATAAGAACAGTTCAACCCTCAGAAGAGCGTAGGAAGGACAAGCAGAGCACGGGGTCGAGAGGTGCTAGATTAGCAGTTAAAACCAGGAGATGAAGGCAGCAGTAAACAGAAAAATACACCCAAGCACTGCCGGCCATTCAGCCCAGACCCAGGTGAGTTCAACACATGGCATGTTTCAGGCCCCATCCCATCACGACAGGCCTCAGAACCCTGGCAATAAGCCTCATCAATATGTCCCACCAGGGACTGTATACATGTGTGCATGGACGGAATAGCTTTGTGAGACAGGGTCTCTCTATAGCCTATGATAGCTTGGAACTCACTATGTACAGCAGGCTGACCTTTGACCTTAAATTCAATTTTATTTTTGAGACCGGGTTTCTCTGTGTAGCTCTGGCTGTCCTGGAACTTGCTCTGTAGACCAGGCTGACCTTGAATTTCCAGAGATCCACCTGCCTCTGCCTCGGGAGTGCTAGGATCAAAGCTAATTCAATTTCCTTGACTATAGGTCTGAACCACCACATGCTGGGTTCCCACAGTTATGTGCATGTAGGGGGTTAGTTTCTAGTTATTGTTTGGTTTTAAAACAAAGTCCCACATTTTATCTCAGCTGTCCTGGAACTCACTATAAAACTCAAGCTAACGCCAAACTTGGATTGATCTTCCTGCCTTTCCTCCCTTTGCCTCCCATGTGCTGGGATTTCAGGCATAGGACATCATGCCTGGCATTTCTGTCCTTATTGTTTTGATCTTTGAAACACAGTCTCATTCTGGAGCCCAGGCTGCTCTGAAACTCACAGCAATCCTCCTGTTTCAGCTTCTCAAGTGCTTGATTACAGAGGTGAGCCATCACCTCACCTGGAATCCTCCCTTTAAAGGTGGGGCATGGGGCTGGAGAGATGGCTAGTCTTGCAGGGAATCTGTTTGCTCAGTTCCCAGCACTCACACAACTGTCACTCCAGTTCCAGGGGATCCAATGCACTTTCTGACCTCCATAGGCACCAGCATCCATGTGGGACACATACATATGTGCAGGTAAAACACCCATACACATCAAATGAAATTTAAAACAAGCAGGAGACTGCCAGCATATAAGCCTGAAGGACCATCTGCAGAGATCACGGGGGAGGAAAAAATCAGTTCCTGGAAGTTGTCCTCTGACCTCCACATGTGTGTTGTGGTTTGCACACCTACACTCACATATACCACATACTGAAAGTAAATACATTTTTAATTATTTATTTTATTTTATTTTGTGTGAATTGGTATGAGGGTGTCAGATCCCCTGGAACTGGAGTTACAGAAAGTTGTGAGCTGCCAAGTGGGTAAACCCAACCCAGGTCCTTTGCAAGAGCAGACAGCACTCTTAATCACTGAGCCATCTTTCCAGCCCTAAACACATTTTTTTTTTTTTAAATTTCAAGATAGAGTTAGGCTCTGTAATCTCAGCACTCAGGGAGGCAGAGGCAGGTAGATCTCTGTTAGTTTGAGGCCATCCTGGTCTACAAAGTGAGTCCAGGTCAGCCAAGGCTACACAGAAAAACTCTATCTCAAAAAAGAAAGAGAGAGAGAGAGAGAGAGAGAGAGAGAGAGAGAGAAAGAAATTTAAAAAAGAAAGAAATTAAGAAATTAAGAAATTAAGAAAGAAAGAAAGAAAGAAAGAAAGAAAGGAAGGAAGGAAGGAAGGAAGGAAGGAAGGAAGAAAGAAAGAAGGAAGAGAGGGAGGGAGGGAGGGAAGGAGGGAAGGAAGGAAGGAAGGAAGGAAGGAAGGAAGGAAGGAAGGAAGAAAGGAAGAAAACTTAAAGATAGGAAAACTGAGGCAAGAAAAAGGAAAAAAACTTTCTCAAAGTTAGCAAAAAGCAGCAAACCTGTAATTTTTGTATATTTACTTCTGTGTGTGTGTGTGTGTGTGTGTGTGTGTGTGTGTGTGTCCATGCAAGTTTGTGGAGGAAAGAAAACATCAAGCACCCTCCCCTACTGTCATTCGTACTCCTTCCCTCCCCTGCTCTGTCACCGTCTTTGTCCCTTGAGATGGGGTCTTCTACTGTACTTGGAACTAGGCTGACAGCCTGAAGGCCCCAACAACCCTGTCTCCCCCCAGGAAGTGTCCCCTTCGCTCCCAAAGTGGCATTTAAATCAAGCCTATCTATCTCCGATAACGAACATTTTTTAAAGCTTTAAAATATCTACTTTGGATCTGGGGTCCTGAATAAATTGGGCATGGTGACCTGCCTGGGAGACACTCCTTCCATCCTACACTGGGGGGGTTGGAGGCAGGAGGAGCTGGGAAGATAGTGGGGTCCTGGGTGAAAGCCAGCACATAGCCTGCTCTGTAACTCCACTTTCCATGTCACTGAAGGCTCAAGGCTCTGAGAGACAGGTTCTGGGTTTGAGTTTTAGACAGCTGTTAGTACTCCTAAGTGACAAATAACCAAACTAGGGATGAGTTAGGGACTTCCCCAAAGTCACACTGACAAGGGACAAAGCCAGCATTACACGCATGACCGTCTGTCTAACTCCAGATAAGCAATGTGTGCCAGGCGCAGGTGACGCAGTAGGGACAGGTGAGACACCAGGGGAATGGAAGGTTTGAGAAAAGTGCAGAAAAGGCACAAAGGGAAGAAAAAAGTGGGGAAGGGCACACTGAGGAGACAGCAGGGTAAGACCTCCCTGGAGATCAAAGCCCAGAAGACCTCATTCATTTGTTTATTTACTATGTGTACAGCTTTCTGCCTGCATGTACACCTGCACACCAGAAGAGGGCATCAGATCTCATTATAGATGGTTGGGAGCCACCATGTGGTTGCTGGGAATTGAACTCAGGACCTCTGGAAGAGTAGCCAGTGCTTTTAACCTCTGAGCCATCTCTCCAGCCCCCCAGAGCACTTTTTAACCTGCAGAAGTTCCAGCAAGGGCGCTATGGGGAGCCGGAGCTGCAGCAGTCTAAACCATGGGGACTCAGCTTTCTGGGGCAGCCCCAGCCCTGACAGCCACTGTGACCTCCTGCTGAAGGCCCCTCCCCCATCCTTTTCACTTAAAAAAATTAGTGTGCTTAACAGGCACGCAGGAGTCAGGGCTGAAGCTTACCCCCAAGGAAAGGACAGTAAGCCAGGTACGGTGGCCTATGCCTGGAATAAGTGCTTGCTAACGCCTGGTGGGCCTGAGTTCGATTCCCAGAACCCACACAGAGGAAGGGGAGAACCAACACTCACAAGTTGCCCTTTGGCCCCAGAGACGTGAGTAGATTAATAACTACATGAGGCTGAGGCAAGAGGATCTAGAGTTCAAGACTGGCTCAAGCTACATAGCAATAGCAAGTTTCAGGCCAGCCTGGGCTACGCAGGGAGCTTATCTAAAGAACAAATTTAATTCTTTAATTTAACTTGACACAAGTTAGTATCATCTGGGAAAAGCGAACCTCAGCTGACACAAATGCTTTCTGTAGAGGGGCCTAATGGCAAGTCTGTGGGGACATTTTCTTGATTAATGTGGAA